AAGCGGGTTTCCAACAAGTGATTGAATTTAAAAAGATCGACAAATAATCCCAAAATATCCACGAAGAGAAAAATTGATGCAGAGGGAAGAAGATGTAATTTAAGATGGGAAAGCGAATACATGTCTGTGCTTCAAGGAGAAAAACGGGTCTGTCTTCTGTGTTATGATGCGTGTCGGTGATGAAGGATACAATTCACGTCGGCATTTTGACACCAAACACGGAGTCAAGTATGCTAAATTTAGCCTACAAGAAAAACATAAAATTGTCCAAGAATTAAAAGGCAGACTGCAATCACAGCAGAATATATTTACAGAAGCTACAGCCCAGTGCATGCTAAAGGTATGTGAGCAGGTGAGCTCTGACCAGATACAGACTTTTACAAATGTCAGTTTGTGAAGAAACACCATCGCAGACCGAGTTCAGGAACTAGCAGCAATCTAACAACACAGCTGGCTAAGAGACGAGATACATCATCTATCAATGTTCATAAGAGGCTCAAGGCAGACCTGACTCTCAGTGAGGAGCTCTTGGATGTAGCTGCCATGCACGGGACGACGGGAGGGAGGGACATTAGTGATGCAGAGAGGTGACAACAATAGCTTTGAACAAAGTTAATGTAATAACTAGTGTTTGATGATATTTGTCTTTGTTATTTTCTTTAAAAGTTTGATCTTTGATAGAGTAATGTGGGTTTCTTAACCCTAAATTAAAATTATTTATGTTATAATAACAGAAATGTGCTTAAATATCATTTTTAATTTATATAACTGCATGTACAATATTTTTACACTTGAATAAACAATAATCAAAAGCAGAGACAGTTATTTAACAATATGTTAGGAGTAGTTATACAGTCTTACAGTTACAACCGGCCCTTTGAGGGAAACCATGATGCTGATGTGGCCCGGAGTGAAAATGAGTTTGACACCCCTGCCTTAGAATGTGTCAGACAGAGCTGATGAGAGTCCCTCTACGTGGGAATTGGATGGATTGCTCTTTATTAATGTGAGAACCAGTTTAATGGCCCCAGCCAAGACACCCTTAGCACAGTGTTGGCAGAGCTGTGGTGTGCTGGGCCAATCACGTTTTAAGTAGTTGTGCAACTGTTCTATGCACTATTGTATCTGGCTTCGCAGTGAAACAATACTATTTTTAGAATCAAGATGTTTCAGCTCAGTACTTCACACTTTTAAACATTATATTAACACAGTTTATAAACCCACAGACTTAACAAAAACATGAAATTAGCTATTAATACCTAATATATAAACCATTCACATGGTGCAGCCAGCCCCCAATGAAAGAATGACGTGATGTGTGCTTTTACAGTTGACAGTGATGAACTACAGCACAGTCTCTCTTTTTTTTTCCTCCAGACAGACATGTTGAGTCTGAGGCCTGGGGCCATTTAACCCCACAGAGAGGATGCGTTGTCTATCTAGAATAAGGCAATAGCAGCATTAGTTGTATATCACCATCTGCCCTTAGATCTGGTCCCCGCCGCTGTGATTTGGTCTGTGATTTGGTCTGTGATTTGGTCTGTGATTTCTGGGACAAGAGACACGGTTACATTTCTTACATTTTTGTGTCAAAATCGGTTTTCAGTGAAGCGAGAATTCCGTGCCGTTCTAAACTATGTACAGTTGTATAAATCAAATTTGTACAGCTCATCTAGGAGATCCTGGAGACTCTAGAGCATATAAACCAAACGTTGTACAAATATGCATGTAAAAGCTCAACATCATGAATTTTTAGTGAAGAATTGCCTTCGGCAAATATCCATCGAACTCTGTTTCCAGGATTTTATTGAAGGAAATAAATAACGGAAGTTGACTAGTAAGTGGGCCATGTGACCAAATGCTTTACTTGATCATTGCTCACGATGGAGTATTTTGTTATGTGGTGGTTGTGGCTCGCAAAACACTATAATAGCAATATGACCCCAATATTTGTGAGTGTATAAACCAGAAATGACATTTGTACTATCTGAAAACGGGAGCATGATCTCTGGAGGTAATTACTATATTCTCAGTTTATTAAGCTAACATTAAGGATACATTTATCAGAGTCTGCAAGGACATAAAGAACCTCTCTATAAAATGTTTTTACAGCAGCAGTACAGAAGGAAATAAAATATTACCGGTCCTCTCTATGTTATATTCTCTGCATATTCAGTGTTTACTCTTTTTCTTACCTATAATGTTGCCACACCCATAGGAGAGGTAACGCAAGAACAACAATGTGCCAACAGTTGCTGTGAGAGGTGCAGTGTCATATTCAGACATACACAAATACATTACTCTAGTTTTCTAAAATACTAGGCATGCTATCAAACTTTAGTCAGACGGCGAACGCAACAATTATCAACTAAAAGTGTTTTCTCCGTACAGCAGCAGAGTCGTACTACAGAGTAGCACGAGTCAGATTTCAGTCACCAGGTGATGAGAGTAAGGAAAGTTGACCGACAAGATGATGGGGGAAGAGTTGGTGTTTAAGTGAAAAGCAAAAGTACTTTCTGGGCAATATTTCAAACCCAATGCTATCAAGGTACCTGCTAATAGGTCAGCCTGCCAATGTCAATTTTTTTGTGCTAAAGTCTAATAGGAAACATTGCTTGTAAGTAGGACTCCACGCACATGATATGTATAATTTGCTTCACGTGTAGGTTGGCAGCAGAAGACGCAGCTTACTGCTGTGCACTGTAAGCTGAGAGCGAGAGGTATCCGTGACGATGGCAGTCTGATGCTGATAAGCGGTCCCTGAGCTCTCATCACAGAACATGATATTCAGCGTGCCGCTAAGGTTTTTTCTGCACCTGATTTACACTTTCCACGCTGCCCAAATGCATTCCCAAAGCCATGGGAATTGCTGAATAATGAAATTGACAGGCCTCATTTGTTTGGTTGTCTGTTTTCACAAAAGTCAATGCCATGCTCAGCCCTGTGAGGCATAGCCATAATCCCTGGGGATAATACAATTGAGTTCAGTTGAAAGGGGTTATTTGTCAGCAAGGACAGACAGATAAAGGATGACTGGTATTTGGAGACTTTTCGGATGCTGAGCAGCGTAGAACAGGTGGGACAGGAGTTAATCGGCCCTGTATTCAAATGTCGCCGCTTTATGCAAGAGGTACAGATGGGAAGAGGCATCAAATTAAATGGTTTGTGTGATTATCTTTTGGAATTTTTTTTCAAGAGCTGTATTTGATTTTTTTTTTTAAGCATCATCATCTGATTTGTCACAAAACTTGCCACATTTATACACAGTAAGTGTCCTAGTGTGATGTAATGCACTTTATATTGCCCACATAACATATAATTAATTTGACCCTGAATCCTTATGTTACACACGGCGTCTCTCGGTTAAATTCTGTGTCTCAAAATGAATAAAAGTACATTTAGTCTTAGTGCTTACAACCAGTTTGCTTGGTTCTCTTCTCAGAGCCATTTGGGGATAACTGTCACCTTTTAGTTCTCTTGTAATAATGGCATCATTTGGTGATTACCCCAGGAGACAGGCTCATATTGCATGAGCCTTGACTTCTCCAACCTCTGCCTCACTTCTCTTTTCCCAGTGGCTATCCCAACAGTTCGGCTTTACACTTGGGAACAGAGCAGAAATTAACCTCTATCCCCTTCACCTTGTAGCATCATTTTCTGTTTCATTTTTAAATAAGGGCTGAACATACGATATTCAAGCCTTAAGGTTTTATCGTGGTTGAAATACAAATTACATTTTTTTGAATCATTTTCAGGGACTATGGCTATGTTAACTTAAGGGTTGTTTGAAAATGAAAATAATAGTAATAATTAAAAAAAAGTTACACTTTTTAAAGTTTATTTTATATGTTGTTATCCTCCATCCAAATATTGTCAATAATGTTAAACTACAAACATAATCATCTTTCTCGGTTGTTGAGCTATAAGTCACTACTTTCTTTCAGTATCTCAAACACGGATCAGCATTGTGCCAAAATACAATATTTTGTAGTTATCCTTTTTAGCCTATTTTCAGAAAGGAAGCACCCAAGTCAGACGTAAAAAAAAAAAAAGCTTGTGTGAATCCGGTTATGTTAGGTGATGAATACTATGGGAGCGAGAGGGCATTTCCACAAACTTCTCCCATGCATAATTCAGTAATACATGAATAACCACGGCACCCTCCAACTCAGTCAGCAACCTTCAATTATTAAAGTTGTGCTCTGCAGAGGAGCACCCCAAGTTCAAATGGATATGATGTGAACAAATGCTACATAGCCTGAGATTACAATGTTTAGAGACGTTGTTTGGGATCTCTACAGCATACTTTTTTGAAGCATCACCTCCAGTATTGTTACTAATGGCTGAATAGAACGTGTGCCCTCGCTTGAACTACAGACCCCTGACTATGTTTAGCAAGGGTCAACGGGCCACCTACTGACACACCTCGGCATCTAAATCGACCAGACCGATGGCCCCCGTCACTTGACCTTTAGACGTTGCATTAAATTACATGAAACTGCATGACACACAGACAGAGCCAGTGGCTATGTTAACCGAGCGGGTGTGGGTTCACTGTTGATGTGGTTTCAGAAGGAGAAATACAGTCGATACTCGAGGAATACAGAATTTTTATCACTACCAGCATGATGTGATGGCGTGAGTCATACAAACCTGCTGAATTTTGACTAAATGTAACCAGGACATGCTGTCCTATCGAGAACATGGTCGGGCCAGCCAGAGCCAAAGTGAACTGTCCAGGCTCGGCCATCTGGGGAGCTGGCACTGAGCTTCTCCACGGATGTACAAAATCATGCTCTCAGGACTACCACTGAGCACAACAGATTGTCTGTGACAACTCAAATTATTTTAGTGTATGCTGCTCTTGGTTGAATGATAGCGACAAAACCATCATCGTGCCCATTAATCTCAAAGCAATCACATAATCAATCTCCATTATGCACACAGCTATTGTTTCCATCATACTGAATTGTTTTTCGAGGGAAAGGTATTTAACCTACCTCGTTTTTCAAAATGATGCTTCATCTCGTTTTCCTTGCACATGATGTCTGCGTGCCCTCCATAGTCCTCATGGGCCTTCCCATCGCTCAGCTTGGTGTGGAGCTGGTTGGGCGTGGAGTTAAGCGAGTGTCCACCCGGGTCGTCCTCATCACAGTCGTAATCATCAAGAATGGGGGTTTCCCGAATGGGCAAGCCAATGACCGAGCTCCCGTGCTGGTGCGTGCTCCGGGAGCCCCGGTAGCTGTCACGGCCCTGGGGTCCAAGCAGAACGGAGGGAATGTAGTGGATCTCATGGGTGGCCTCGGTGCTGGCACTCTTCTGGGGGATGCGTCGGCGCTTGCACCATCGGTGACGGGTGTACAGGACGAGGGTGAAGAGGAGGATTAGGAGGAGGAGGGCAATGAGGCCTCCCTGGATGAAAGCGAGAGAAAAGAAAGAAAGAGAATGTGAGGGAAGCACACAAGGATGACAACTCTGATCTGCACACTTAATTGGTAATGCTGATATTCTATGTACTACGCAACAAAAGACACGTTTAGTACACCTCTAATGAAAATCGCTGCTCCACTTTCACTTACAATGGGCCGGATGGCAATTAGCACCATTTGCCACCTATTGAATGACATCTGGCAATCACCACTTCAATGAGTGAGCTCTCAAAACAACATGAGGTAGCTAACAGGAGACTGATTTGTGCCTCAGCTACAGACGTGCACAGCCAATTATTTGATACATAAAAAAGGAAAACAAGTCTCGAAAATGATGTCAACCTCGTAGCCTCGTCTTCGTAAAGCGTTTTTCAAAGTCTGACACTGTGTGCAACACCTAAAACTAAATTTAGGGGGACGCAGGTTTTCAACACAATAAATGTATGTATATATATATATATATATATATATATATA